GTTTTATGCTAAATACACTGTTATAAAAAGATTTGTTAACATGAGTTTGTAGTTATTTTAACAAAGGAAAATAGTTTACCGAAAGTTTTGTACAGGTAATATGCAATTTTGTAAACATTTTGTTAATTTCAAAGGTTACAGATTATTTTGTTAATGTTTAACAAATTATTCCGTTGAAAAAGTACACGCAATTTCTGGCAGCCAATCAAAACATTTCCCAGCACAACACACTTATCAACAAGTTGTGTCAGCGTCAACGGGTGTTTATAATATTTAACGGTGACAGGAGTGTTTATAATGCCATTACTGGTGTTTAAATTAAAATTAGACGATACAGTGAAGTGGGTTAAAGTACATCAGTAAGTGTTTTTGTAGTACTGATAGTTATATTGTACCAAATTTCTATATAATCTGATGATTTCAGAATTTTGTGTATGATATTTTTGTGTTCATTTATGTAGGTATGTGTTAATTTTGTTTTATTTAGAAAATTGTTTAATAAAGCATCATTTCTTATAACAAATTCTCTTTTTTAAAGTTCCCAATTTACAACAAATACAAATACTGAGTTTTTAAAAAAAATACAAGAATTATGGCATTATTGACATGGAATTTCGTTATTAAATCTACAAAATGCCTGTAATAATTACAAAGTAGGTACTTATTCAATTAGTTAACAGATCACAGTTGGTTGTAAACTTAACAAAAAGTTATGTGGACCTGGATTAACATAAAATCTGCTTATTATTTTGTTAAAATTAACAAATATTTTTTTACTGTGTAAGTGTGTTCTTGGCACCGCTGTCGTCCGGGTTGTTTGTTGTAAATAATTTGACTGAATTTTAATTTTAATTTATTTATAAACATTACATTACATTACAGTAGTAACATTGGAAACAAAAAAAGACAAAACTTAATAATAATTATTATAAAAATAATGATGATAATTATCCTATAATCTTTACATTAATTTTGTTCAAGCTTTTAAAGTAGACATCAGTTTAATGTTCTATAAATATTAAATTGGCCAGTAGATATAATTCATATTATAAGGTGTACTAAAAATTGAAATATACGAAATAGTGCAATATTTTTCTTCATACAAGTTTTTCAGTCATGTAAAATAATATTATTTATTTATTTAGGTTTACATATTACTAATAGTAATTTACTTTACTATTTAATATAGCTAGCTAATTAGTTTTTTAAATAATTTATCAACAAAAAAACTATATTATACAGAGTTTAAAAATTAACAAAATATGAAAATTGGTTAAATTAATATATTTTAAATTAAAACATTTATTAATCAAAAATTTTAGTTATCAATATCAATAAATTAAATCAATTAATTTAATTGCTGTCGAAGTTTTTTAAGTATTAAAATAAAATCTTTAAATTTTAAATTGTTGGATGCGCGCTTTCTCCAGCTGGATTGATGTTTATCCAGCAAAAATCCAGCTGAATTTAAAACCTTGCTGGATGTAAATCTCTAGTCACGAGTCGCCAGACCAGACTTAAATTACACTGTGCAACACCAAAAATCAAACCTCACCGGACTATTTTTTTCTGAAAATATTTCTATCCAAAGCAAAACCAACCCTCGCTGGGTTTGTAAAAGTTAGCTCGAATTTTTTTTTATGGCCGTTTGTATTTTCGAGCTTCATATACCCCAATTTAGACTTATAAATCGATTTTTTTCGCATATATTCGATTTATACATATCTTTAAGATTTTTTGTGGAAATGTAGTTACTAAACAAATAAACCCATTTTGTGAACAACCTATATCCAAAAACCCAATTTTTGGACCCAAATATTCAAAAAATTACATTTTTTTTTCAATTTTTGGCAAAATTTTAAAATTTCTTGCTACTTATTCTGGCAAAAATGTTGTAAAATGTACTAGAAGTACACTTACGTTTGCTTATTTGCTATAAAACAATGTTTGAACAAGATTTTCCAAAATATCCATCTTTTCACACTCAACACGAAATTTTTTTGCCGAAATCTTTGGAAAACTTGTAGGAAAAAATTGAATATATAAAAAAGAATTGTAGAAAAGTACAGAGAATATGATTTTTTATTTTGTATTAATTTTATTATTAAAAAAATGTTTTTATATCCAAACATTGAGTAATCTAATTCATTGCTCGATAATTCCATCCCTTCCACTTCTTCTCCTTTATTTTCTTGTTCTTTAGTTTCATTTTTTGATTCATCACTGGAGAATTCCATCCCTTTCATTTCTTCTCCTTTATTTTCTTGCTCTTTATTTTCATTTTCTTCCTGATCGTAGTCAAAAATATGTTTACTCCACCAACAGGTTTCGGCTAGTATGGCATCTGTAGCTCGTTTTCCTCTGTATCTGGACTCAAATGGCACCGCAGTTTGAAGATAACGCTCTACCTGCTCATCTGATTCTGTCGATAACTGTCGACTGAAGTAGTCGAAATGGCGATGAAGGAAATGAATTTTTAATTGGGATCTATTGAAAATATATGAAATCGTTGCAATATATTTTGAAGTGAATTTTTTGATAAATTTGAAACAAAATAGAATATTACACATTTTGACAATGCCGATTTCGACGAAACGATTACAGTGTTCGGCTTTGTCTTGGCCTTTTCGTTTCATCAAAATCAACATTAAAATATATTGCAACGATTTCATATATTTTCAATAAATATTTCATTTATTTTTCATATTCATTTCATTTCAGGCGTTTTAAATGGTCCTGATATTTAGAAATTGGTAAAGTCTGAAGACTTTGACAGGGCCTTGGTTGACAATGAGATAGTTGCGTGGGCGTCGATAAGAGAAATCATCGTTGGGCTTTTAGGCAAACATCGTTCTCCCAATTATGAAGGATTTGTGCGACGAATGTTGGATGCTTTTTCCAAAATTGGAGTCAATATAGTCGATACAAATTTATTTCCATCATCGCCATTTGGACTACTTCAGTCGACAGTTATCCACAGAATCAGATGGGCATGCATGTAGGGAGAGCGTTATCATCCAACTGCGATGCCATTTGACACGGTGTGCCTGAACTAAGTTTAAGTCACATAAAAATGCCGCCAAAAACTGATTGCAGTTTCTTGTTCGGGACCCTTTGGTGACTTAAAAATGATATTTACCAAAATCCTAGCTGCTCCTCTTTTCGATTTTTTTTTTTAAATCATGATTTTTTTTTAAATTTTTGTTTATCTTAAAGTCTACCTTTGACAGAGTACACATTTGTACACCGATTTTTATAATATTGGAGTATATTGTTAAGGAGAATACTTTTTTATACTGTGCACATCATTTAATATACACAGGGTTAGCCAAAAAGCGCTTCTTTTAATAAAGCAAAAGCGTAAATTCATTATTTTGGCATAACACGCAAAAAAGATATATACCCAGCCATGTTTTTTTTAGATATTTATATGAAAAATTGATTTTGAATAAAATTAAATAAAATAACATTTTTTGGAGATAAATCTTTTTTGTGCATTATGCTTTTTACTATATAAAAAAATGATACCTGACCCTGTATAAATCTAATTATGTGCTCAGTATGAAAATAATATTCTCCAATATTATAAAAATCGGTGTACAAATGTGTAGTCTGTCAAAGGTTAGATAAACAAAAATTAAAAAAAAAACTAAGAAATTTCAAAAAATTTCGAAAAGAGGAGCAGCTAGGATTTTGGTAAATATCATTTTAAAGTAACCAAAGGGTCCCGAACAAGAAACTGCAATCAATAAAAATCGGTGAACAAATGTGTACTCTGGCAAAGGTAGACTTTGCGATAAACAAATATAAAAAGCAGTTTTGGTAAATATCGTTTTTAAGTCTCCAAAGAAACTTTAACCAGTTTTTTTCGTTCAAAATTGAAAACTACTAAAAAGCATAAATTAAACAACATTTTAAATATTCTTTAAGCGTTATTTTATTTAATTTTATTAAAAATCTAATTTTTTTACAGATTTTTTTTACAGATTTGGTGTTGATTGTGAAAAGAAGAATATTTTTGAAAATCTTGTTTAAATATTGTTTTCCAGGAAATAAGCAAATTTAAAGTTTAGTTCAGTGTGCGTATTTTATAAATTACTTTTTTTAGTACATTTTACAACATTTTGCAAGAAGATGTAGCAAACAATTTTGAATATTATCGAAAAATTTAAAAAAATGTAATTTTTTGAATATTTGGTCCCAAAAATTGGGTTTTGAGATATAAGTTGTTTACAAAATGGGTTTATTTATTCAGTATACTGAATAGAAAAGTTATAACTATAGTTACTTTATACATTTCTACATTAAATCTTGACGATATTTATAAATAGAAAATATGCCAAAAAATCGATTTTTAAGTCTAAATTGGGGTATATGAAGCTCGAAAATACAAACGGCCATAAACAAAATTCGAGCTAACTTGTGTTGTTTGATTTCGATGACCCGAAAATTGTCGCACAGTGTATTATAACGTAGTTTTGAAATATTGAAGTAAATAAAAACCATTCATTTTATCTTCTTTATTTATTTGAGTCACATTATTTTTTATTATTTAAATTAATAACACTTATCCTAAATCAATAAATAAATAAATAAATACATATTCTACAAATAAATATTAATTTTAGCTAGCATTTTTTACCCATATATCTATAACTATTAGTTATATGGTTTTACCAATGTATGTATATTATGTGTACATTGGTAAAACATTCAAGCTAACATTAATGCTATATTAATGGAATTATTCTATTATTTATTAAATTTGTATATCTAACAAAGTTTTTAAAAAATGTACATGACTGAAGCGGGCATCTCCAAAATGATGTAAATAGCAAAAACTAAAAATGGGTTTTAAGATTTAAGTAGTAGTATCTAATTTTGCCCTAATTATTTGTCTGTAAAAATATTATATTATACAGTAGGTGTGTGTGCAAAGTTAATTTTAGAGATAAATTAAGATTTTGGAAATACACGCCTAACTATAGGTACTTTTTATTCTATCTCTGTCGATCTGCAGCATACTGTTGGTATTGCTGATACTGTTGAGGATTATATGTATTCTGGAACTGCATATTCTGCTGCTGTTGTTGGGTCACGTAATTCCTTTGCACGTGCCCGAAAATCCTATCATAGTCTTCGTCGTCCTTGATGTGTACATGTTTGGGTTCGTGGTGTACCAACGCCATTTTGATTTTGTTTAATATGACAGGAGCCAAAATGGCAGCCGCCATAAGGAATTTTTTTATTAAAAGGACCATAACCAGGGTTGTGGCAAGAATAATTTTAATGGTGGAAAGCTTTGTGAGGACAACTAGAAGCCATATTATTCCTAAAGAGTTATTGTCTTTGCCGCCTCCTCCCCCGCTACCACCTCCTAAGAGCCCGCCGCCGCCTTGGCCTCTTCCAGTTTCTAAAAAGAAAAAATGCAGTTGTTTAGAATTTAATTTACTGTACTGATTTTATTGTAAATAATATCAACATACAAGGTAAAAAAATTAAAACTTTAAGAGCAATATAACCAAATTGCCTTTAGTCCAAATGTCGACAATTGCATTTTGAAATATTAGAAGACAAAATATACGAATTCATGGCAACCAATTTTTAAAAGAATATTAAACTATGTTTTTTTGTCTTATACTATTTTATATGCTTTGTCGGCGTAATGAAATACATATAGGTATAATAAATAATATAAATTAAATATAATTTTTAATAAAAAAATCATTTAGAATATTTTATATTTATATTATAAGTAATATAATAATAAGTAATACACTAAAAACTGAATCACTTACGTTCTCCACAAAAGTTGTTGTGATGCCCACACAAACCAGCATTCCTGGTGCCATTACCAAAATTCAATTCTGTAGAATTCGGGTTATCTTCTACAGTGTCTGGAAGGCGCCTTTGCGTGCCGACGTGAAAACATGCGAACAAAACTAAGATCGAGGCGACTAAGCTCGTCGTCGGAAAGCACATCTTTCAGCTACCGGACTGAGAAATGAATGGCACCAGTTGATAGCGTTAAGTCTTATTTCTAGGTTATCAAAGAAGATTGTTGCACATTAATATCCTACTTCTTCTAAGAGTTTGTCTATCGTTTAATTAAGGTTATTAAATGTGATTTTTCTTTATTAATCAATTTTGTTACGCGCAATTATAACGTTTATGGGATGAGCGACATAACGATCGCAGAATCTATTCGTTATTTTTTAATGTGCGGTTGGGATAAGGATGTTTATTTTAGGATGTTGCGATGAACTGGCACGCTCTACTACCTGTTTAAATTTTCTTTTTTATACTTTTACTGGCGTGTGAAGTAATTGAATCCTTTTGTTCCCATGTGTTTATTATAATCTTTATTTAACCACAATACATAAAAACATATAAAATCTTTATTAAACAACTATAGTCGAAATAAAAACAACATAAATTGATTTTCTGCTTAAAAACGCTACAAGAGATTTTGCGAGTTTAGCTCATATGATATTATCAGCCATATTGCATTCGTCACTTTGTTTTTTGTAAAATAAACCTACCTAATTATCAGTGATACAAAACCCCTATATTCAAAATTTGTCTCTGGAAAACCCATATCGCTGCTTACTCACGTAGTTTGGCGATCACCTGCTAGGCAGAAAGTCCCAACAAAATGGCCTGTCCTTTAAAAAAAAAATCTGGGTATAAATATTATAATGTCTAAATATCAGCGTTTTGCAAATATATTGTTTGCAATTAAAATTAGGCATTCTATAAAATGCAAAGCCCCACGACGAAAAGCCAAAAACACAATTTAGGACTTTTTGCAATTGAGCACATCTGAATTGATTTTCTTAAAGAAAAAACGTGGTGTTTGTAAATTTAAAAAATTTCACCTATAAAAAAGTTATAGAGCCTTAGTTTAACAAATTTAAAATCAATATATTGATTTTAATTAAACCTATAGGTTTAAATATATTTAGCTAGAGCTAAATAAAACTAATAAAGGTTTTTTAAATAAAAGCCAAGACGTTTATCTATTTATAATTTTATAGTAAAAAATAAATATCAAAAAACAAGTTGTTTATTCATAATAATACAAAGTGCTAATAAATTATCTGTTTTTAACTTTAGGAAGGAAAGAGTTTTTTTAAAGGCTAATGCTCTAATTATATACATTTTGTAGGCCAAAATCTTGTGAACAAGAGTATTAAATATTAAATTATTGATACTATTTAAGTGTTATTAGTTCTATTTTTGCAAGCTTTGGTCTGGAAAAGGACCAAATATTAAAAAAAAGTTGGTCATTTTAGTGGAGGTTCAAGAGTCTATAGAAACAAAGACTTTAAATACTCTGGAGAATTCATATTCGAAAAGTATCAAGATCTACAACAAATGCAGACAAAATACTCATTAAGTATATTTTTTTATAAGTATTAACAATTATTGTATTAATTTTTATTTTATTAAAATAAATGTGTATTATTTATAGTTAACAGGATATTGAAATTATATAATTATAATTCTTATTATATTTAAAAATATATAAAGTATATTTTTATTCGGAATGGCTCCAACGATATTAAATCTAATGTATTACGTACTTTTACAATATTTTTATATTTAAACCAATGTTAAATAATTTAATTTGAACAGCCATAAAATTTATCATTTTCAGATTTATAAAATCAGAATCAAAAATATTAATATATAAAACCAGTCTTAAAAGTTTATGATGATATATTAAACGTTTTTATTATATTTATATTTTTAGCTTATGTTAATCAAATTTTAAGCATTTAAACCCTTATAAAATCGCCGCCACTGAGCAAATTGAACTAAATTTTGTACACGATCAAGAGTAACACCACCAAAATATGGTGTTAAAATTTCATGATATATTTATTAGGTTTTTTCTAATGGATTTTGGCCACTTTATTGTCATTCTAGTCCAGTGTGCGACCCTTCAGCCAGGTCTTTGATTTTTTATTCAGACATTACTAAAGAAGTGCTACACATATTTTTACGATGCCTTAAATACCTACCCAAAAATTTATCTCAGACTAACATAACAAAGCTATTATCATCCGATTTTTGAAATTCAAAAATTTAGCATTTAAAATAAATTACTTATAATGATCTTTAAAAGATGCACTGTTGGTTTAAAGCCTGTTTAAGTTTTGTATGCATATTCCAGTTCGATAGCTACATGGCATGTGTATCTCTTTTGTAAGCTGAAGATCGTGGTTTAAAATAACTTGATCTTTTTACTTTGTTTTGTTTCTTTAAGCGATTTTATTGGGTATTTTGTCAATAAGTTTACCAATAAAATAATCGATGGGTTCTTGTTTTTTTATTTTTTTATTTTCGTACAAATTTATGCACTCAAAACTTCTATATCATTATTTTTTGTCAATTTAAAGTTTACCAATGGAATAATCGTCTTCAATAGGGTGGTTAGGCTGGGTGCTTGGGTGCTTGGGTAGGTTTGATTTTTAATTTAGGTTAAGATTTATGCATGCAAAATTATTTAAAAAAAAACAGGGACGACAGTGCACACATTTTTTTTAAGCTCTATCTTGGCAGTTCAGTTTAAAATCGTAAAGAAAAGTAGTTTTTAGCTTAGAACGTTTATTGTCTATTTGACAGATGGTAGTACTAAACGAGGGGCGACTATATGATATATGATCATTTTTATTTTATTAATTAATACTTTTCCATTAAGAATACCAAAAAACAGCGTGAATTTACTCGCTAAGTTCGTTAATCAAGATATTTTTACTGAATAAAAATTATTACTTTTTCTTCATTTATGGAACATTTACTGTTTTCATAATAATTTTTAGCATAGTTTATACTATATTATAAACTATACCGCCTTATGTTTCACACATATTTCATTTTAGTTCACCCCATTTATAATGTTGTATTGCACAGTGTTATTTATTAAGTTTACTTTTAACTATTTTTAAAACTATTAATTTACTTTGAAAAACAAAATCTTATTGAGAATTCGAGGCTAATCTAGACTACAGTAAATAAAATCAAGAACACCGCGAACAGTTAAAAGTCGAAATGCTTTTTGCGTCCAGGACCAAGTTTTTCCAAGTACATTTTTATTTGTTTTAAATTTGAATATTTTATATCCAAAATGTTTAAAATGCTGATTTCAAATCGATCTGTCAAAAAAATGGCAAAATATTGTCTTGTTCTTTTGCGATTACTCCTGGCATTTCATTTAATTTTTTGATGTATCTAGGGGAAGAAATTTTTTATTAAATATGTGTCATATATTTTATTATGTTATTAAATATATAGTTTTATAATTTTTTTAAAGATTTTGCTAAACGAACAAAAATGGTAGGTATATGTTGAAAGCACAAGATTTTTGTGGCATAAAAACAAAATTGGCAAAACATTTTTTATTAAATATCTAGGAAATATACCCTAAATAAATATAAAAAACCTTACGTTACATTACACCAGAAAAATGTTATCCATATACAGACATATCCTATACGAAGTGTGTTCAGAAAATATCGGGAATTTTCGTTTTTTGAAACAAATATTTATTTATTCGTCTACATTAATGTTGTCGCCTTCAAAATAGTCCCCATTGGATATTATGCACATGTTCCAATACTCGAAACACTTCTAAAACTCGATCTTTGGGATAGCATTTTGTTCTTTCAGCGATGCGCTTTTAATGTCATCTATGCTTGCAAAACGACGGCCCTTTAAGGTTCTCTTTTTTTTTGGGAATAGGAAAAAGTCTGACAGAGGCATGTCTGGCGAATATGGAGGCTGGGTCATCATTACAGTATTGTTTTTGGCCAAAAATTTTGTTCAAAATTTAACAATTTTAGAACAAATTTTGCTGCCACGCGTTTCATACCCAAAAAATTTCATGGGATGAGCCAATCGATATACCAACATTATCAGCGACTTCTCTGATGGTTTACAACCATTTCTTCCACTTTTTCCATGTTTTTATCGGTTGTTAATGTGATTGTGCGTTCGGGGCGTTCGTCATCTTCAATGTCTTCACGACCATCTTGGAAACTCTTATACTACTTGTAAACTCTTGTTTTACTTATAGCAGACTCACTATAGGCCTTTTTTAACATTTCACAGAATTTATTTAATTTTTTAAGCAAAATTGGATACAAATTCTTTGATACATTAAATTTTCTTTTAACGAACGAAAAATCGCCGAGCTCATAAAACACAGGCAAAGTAAACAATGAAAACAGCTAAAGTTTTTATCATACTTCGGGGGCATGTATACCAACATAATAAAGAAAACTTTATGACAACCGGACCCTCCGAACCCGCGAAATTTAACAATTCCCGTTATTTTCTGAACACACCTCGTATATCATCAATGATTCATCATATTTATTATTATCCATCCACGCAAAAAAAGAAAAAGGTATGCGCACAGTGTATTATGTAATATCAAGCAAACTTTTAAACATATTTAAAATCGGTTAGTAGGTAATTTGTTATCATTGGTTACTGACAGTTCGGTTGTTATTGTGGTTTATTTGGGGCAACATGGACAGTTTAGTGTACCAGAGAGAAGTTAACAGATAAGAACAACTCTGCGAACTTGTCACTGCAGCGGCAGATGAAATCCGAAATCATCCGGATATGATAGCAAGAGCGACACATCATAATTTTCTACGCCGCTGTCAACTTTGTGTGGATAATAACGGCGGGATAGTTGAACATTTATTATGTTTTTGTGAAACACTTAAAAAAATAGCTACATGAGCATCAATTGACGTAAATAGTTAAAGGTTGAAATTTTAAAAACGACGGAAAAACCACGGAAACCTCGAGATACCTAACAATTGTTTTATTCAAAGTACCTAAAAAAATTTTAGTAAAAATAGCTGAGTATGCAAAACAAAACACAATTATTAATAAAGTAATCGATGATAACACAAATGTAAATTTTTAATTTTATTTTATTTCATTTTATTTATTTTGGTCAT